AAATTATTTACAAATCTAATTAAAAATTAGTTAAACTATCTAAATTAACTAAAAAGTATTCAAAATAACAAATAAAACAAACTACAAAAATATTTTGAATACTCTAAAATATCTAAATCACCTTAACATATATAAAAACATTAACATATTTAACTAATTTCGGATATGTTCGGATTCTAATTCGGATTTCGGTTCGGTTAGGATTATAACCATAGTCCAAAGTACTAAGCTCATAAGTCCCGTTCGGATATTTTTGTAAAACAGTTCGAATTCGATTTCGGTTTTTCCGGTTCGGGTTAAGGTCAGTATTTCGGGTTAAGTTAAAAACGCCCAGGCGTACTCTTAATTTGTCGAATTAAACTGAAACTCTTAACCGAACTTGATCTGAAAACCGAAAATTTCGGTTCGGTTCTGTTATGTTAGTTTCCGTAGAATTATGTAGATACGTGCACTTGGGAAGTGAATAAAATGGGCCAACAATTATAGGACTGTAATTGACGTAAACTAGAGAGAAGAACGGTATCTACTATTATCGTGCACGCCAAAACGGTCTCTACTTTTCCTTTTTTGTTAAATATAAATATAACGGTATCTAAAAAAAAAAAATATATATATATATATATATATATATAACGGTATCTACATATCCTGCACGCTAATTCAGTTGACAAAGGAGGAAGAAGAAATCAAAGTGAGCCTTAATTTGCGAGACGAAGATGCCGAAGAAAATGGGTGTGAACAGCAAGTCCGAGGCCGCCAAATCCCGCAAGAACGCAGCCGAGGCAGAGCAGAAAGATCGCCAGAGTCGAGAGAAGGAGGAACAATACTGGCGCGAAGCGGAAGGTCCAAAATCCAAGGCGGCAAAGAAACGTGAGGAAGAAGCTGAGAAGAAGGCAGAGTCCGCCTCCAAGAAAGCGGAGGCGAAGCGTCTGGCGGAGCAGGAAGAGAAGGAGCTTGAGAAGTGTCTGAAAGTCAACCGCGTTTCTTCACCGGTTCCAAAGGTGACGGAGGCGGAGCTAGTACGGAGGCGAGAGGAGGAGCAGGCGGCGTTGGCGAAGAAATCGGAAGAGGCTAAGAAGAAGCAGAGACGTATGGCGGAGGAAGAGGAGTACGAGAAGATGGTGTTGGTGTCTAATACGAACCGTGATGATTCACTCATTGAGGCACGTACTGTTGACGAGGCGCTTGCCAAGATGACCGTTGCTGATAAACTTCCTGTTGATCGTCACCCTGAGAAAAGGCTCAAGGCTTCCTTCAAGGTGTAATTAATTAACTCATATAGTCATATGTTTACTAGATGTTTGATGTATATTGGATGACTATGTGATTAGGAGAGTCTCTGTTGTTGAAAATGGTAGATTGATTTAGGCTTTTTGTGTGGCTTCTTCTTACTTAGTAGTTAGTATGTGTGATTAGGAGAGTGTCTGTTGTTGGAATGATATTTGATTGATGGCTCTATACATAACTGACTGTTGTTTGTGAAATATAGGCCTATGAAGAAGCTGAAATGGCGAGGGTGAAGGAGGAGAAGCCAGGTCTTACGCACACTCAGTACAAGGACTTGATTTCGAAGATGTGGAAGAAGTCTCCTGATAACCCTCTTAACCAGGTTTACTAAGGTTCCATCTCCTGCTGATTGAAATGCAACTCGTAACCAAAACAGGCGAAAGAGAGAGTAGAAAGAAGATTGTTTTCTTCTTTCCCGGTTTCGGGTTTGCTTGTTTATTGTGTAGAAAGTAGAAACTATTCTATGTTAGGAGGCAATCATATTGAAAGCAAAGACAATTTACTTCCTTGGTTTATTTGTTTCATTATCCAGAAACAAGCGAAAAAAACAGTTTCGTTTGGTTCCATATTCATCATGTACATACATACATACAATCTCTTGATGAGGATGCTTTGTTTCTATAAATTTAATCTGTGTGTTATCCTCCCACTTATCTTCATTAATTATGATGCATTTTGTGTTTACTGTTCTGTAATTCTCTCTGTTACTAGTTACTACACACGTTGGCTAAGCTAAATACCAAAAGAAAGGGGTTTGGGCTTATTAATACTGCTGGCCTATTTAATCATTAAACAAAAGTCCACAATATTAAAAGTTGCAGTAAAACCCTCAAACTTTTCAATCTTCGCAAAAAACACACCCCCTACAAAACATAAAATAAAAAGCTTCCTCATTTAAAACCCTAGTTTCGCAAAAAAAACGCATCTACTCTTCTTGTCCGATTATCAATCACCACTCTCCGTATCCTCTTGATTCTGAACACCGCCGCGAAAGATGCAGCACGACGAGGTCATATGGCAAGTCATCAGACACAAGCACTGCAGTTACATGGCCAAGTAATCTCTCCTCTTCACTTCCTTCTTATTCCTCTAGAAAACTCATGTACTAATTGAGATTACCTTTTGTAGAATCGAAACCGGAATCTTCTGCAGAAACCCTTACAACGTGACGGGTGTTTGCAACCGAAGCTCTTGTCCTCTTGCTAACAGCCGTTATGCCACAATTAGAGAACCCGATGGTACTACTCTTACTTATTGTGTTGTCTGATTGTGATCAAATCTCTTACTTTTTGTTTTTCTGTTTGTTGCAAAAGCAAAAGGAGTTTTTTATTTGTATATGAAGACAATAGAGAGAGCACATATGCCTAAGAACTTGTGGGAGAGGGTGAAGCTGCCTAGAAACTACGAGAAGGCTCTTGAAACCATTGACAAACACTTGGTAATTAAGTTTTAGATGTTATTACATAGATTGATGTGACAAGAGTATATGTTTATTTTTGTTGTGTGTGTGTGTGTATAGTTGTATTGGCCAAAGTTATTACAGCACAAGATCAAACAAAGACTGACTAAAATGACTCAGATGCGTATTCGTACGAGGAAACTGCATCTCAAGACAAGGTTTGTCCTCTTTCAGAAGTTGTTTGGTAAATTATGCTCTTATTCTGTTGGGGTTTGATTGTTGGTTGTTTTTGTTTATAGGGAGAAGATAATGACTATGCCTAGGAGGGAAATCAAGAGAGAACCAAGAAGAGAGGAGAAGGCTATAAAAGCAGCGCTCTTAGATAAGGTCACCATCATCTATTTTTTTGTGTATTGCATGTTTGCTTTAGTTTCTCTTTTGTTCATGAATACTCTCTTCTGCTGATCAGGCTATTGAGACTGAGTTGCTGGAGCGTTTGAAGAAGGGTGTTTATGGTGACATATACAATTACCCTGAGCTTGAGTGGAACAAGGTTCTTGATGAAGAAAAACAATTGGCAGAGGGTGTTGAGGAAGAAGAGGAGGAGGTACTTGTGTCTAAACTTAACTCAGAAAATTTGATATTGTGTTCTTGTTTTTGTTCAAAATTTTCTTTGTTGGATGAATTAACAGGAACCGGAGATTGAATATGTTGAAGGATATGAAGAGCTTGAAGAAGAGGAAGATATGGAAGATTTCTCTGGTTTTCCTACTAAGATGTCTGGCTTCAACGATGATGAACATGGTAAAAGCCTCTCAAATTAGTTACAGAATCCTCCATTTATCCATTATTAGTTAGATGAGGTATTTTTCTTGGATTATTATTACAAAGAGACAAACTTTCTGACAGATTCAGCTGATGAGGAGGAAGACGATGACAGTGAGGACCAAGTTGTGATTCATAAAAAAGAAAAAAGAAATTCAAGAAAGCCTGATGATCTTGGAAAATCAAAGAAGAAGAAGAGAGTAGTTGTTGAGGTAAGATTCACAACCTACTAGCTACCTAATTCTTTATTGAAATGTTGAGTTAATTTGTGTTGTCTGTATCATCTTATATGTCTGTCTTTATCTCTTTCAGATGGAGCAAGAAGATGGAGACTTGATACGAACCCTGAAAGCCGCAAGCTTTTAGATGCCAAAACCTGAAGCTTTTTGTTTTGTTTTGCTACTGAGAGACAAGAAAAGCGGAAAGCTAGCTTTCTTCTTGACAATGTTACAGTTGAAAGCTTTCCAGTTTTGTACCCTTTTCTTTTTCATGTATTTGTAGGAACTTAATCTGTTCTGATAGTGAGTCAAGAATGAAGTTTTTGCTTTGACCTATAACTGAAACTTAAACTCTGTGAGCTATTCTGTTGTTAATGAGTATGATGAGCAAACTCGTGACTATAAGCCAACTCTTGGCTTAAACAAAAGAGAAACGTTGGTGCCATCCAATACCAAAAAGTAATGCTAAAAATATGAATTGAAGTCATGAGGAATGATAAGGGCAATGTTTTCTTAGCTGTTATCTCTGCGTGTTGCTCAACGCTAGCAAATGATTGCACATCCCCACATGGAGCTAAAAGACAATGTGGTATTGTACAAGCTTTTCAGAAATATTCAGATCAAGAGAGTTTATGAATAAATTACCAACATCAAGAGTTTTTTTTTTGTAAATGTCAATGCTATAGATCATTAAAGTAAGTAACGATGTGCAATCAACAAATCAGAGTGGCGCAGCGGAAGCGTGGTGGGCCCATAACCCACAGGTCCCAGGATCGAAACCTGGCTCTGATATAATTATTTTTACAATTTTTGTGATTTTCTTCTTCTGGGTTGCTTCAGAGCTTTAGAGCGGGCTCAGCCCATCAAATTAATATATGCGGTCATTAAATTATGAGATGGATCTATATATTTAATATTTTTACCATATTATCAATTGTTGTTTTCGTGGAAGGGTTCTTGTAATCTACCTAATTAGGCACAATTTTATATTTTGGTTAAATACAAACCCTCTATATTATTGTTTTTCTAATTTTAGTGTTATTTTAAATATATATTTATATGAATAAGTGCCGTCGGCTATGCAAGACGGACAAAATCTGGAACCTTAGCAATTAACAAACACATGAAAAGTACAACTATTAAAGCGATGGATTAAATAAAAATAAATATTAAGGGTGACGGCAGAAGAGAACGATAATTGAAAGCACATAAAGATAGTTTATGAACAATTTGACTGTATTAACTAATGTCAATTGTATTTAATTTTCGGGTGGTTTCAATATTGTGACGATAGTTTTTTAGCAAATCTAAAGATGGCTACTAGTCTATTGTGAAATTTATTATTCATAAAATTATTATAATTTCTAAAGATAAGAACACAAATTTATTACTCGAATTTACAGATTAAATTAATTTTAAACTTCTTAATCTAAATGAATTATAAAAAATCTAATCAAACATGAATAACACAAAATTTTAATCTTTTAATTGTTTTTTTAAATTAGATGGCCATAACTAACAAATTATTTATTAATGTCAATTGCATTTAATTTTCGAGTTTCAACAATGTGACTAGTCTATTGTGAAATATATTATTTATAAAATCATTATAATTTCTAAAGATAAATAACAAAATTTTATTACTAGAATTTACAGATTAAATTAATTTTAAACTTTTTAAACCAAATGAATTATAAAAATTAAAAATTCTAATCAAACATGAACAATTCAAGATTTTAATCTTTTTAATTGCTTTTAACATTAGATGACCATAATTAACAAAAATTGTTAATTAATGTCAATGCATTTAATTTTTGAATTTCAACAATGTGATGATAGTTTTTGAGCAAATCTAAAGATGGCTACTAGTCTATTGTGGAATTTATTATTCATAAAATCATTATAATTTCTAAAGAAAAATAAAAAAAAAACATTACTGGAAGTTGCAGATTAAATTAATTTTAAACTCCTTAAACCAAATGAATTATAAAAAAAATCTAAACATGAATAACTCAAGATTTTAATCTTTTAATTGCTTTTTAAATTAGATGACTATAATTAAAAAATTTCTTAAATAATGTCAATGAATTTAATTTTCGAGTTTCAACATGGTAATGATAGTTTTTGAGCAAATCTGAAAAAAGCTCTCAAGATTTTGATCTTTTAATTGCTTTCTAAATTAGATGAGTATAATTAATTTTTTTGTTAATTAATGTCAATGCATTTAATTTTCGAGTTTCAACATGGTGATGATAGTTTTTGAGCAAATCTGAAAAAGTCTACTAGTCTATTGTGAAATTTATTATTCATAAAATTATTATAATTTCTAAAGACAAACAACAAATTTTTATTACTATAAATTGCAGATTACATTAATTTTAAACTTCTTAAATCAAATGAATTATAAAAATCTAATCAAACATGAATAACACAAGATTTTAATCTTTTAATTGTTTTTTTTAAATTAGATGGCTATCATTAAAAGATTTATTAGCGAAAAATATTTAAATACAAAAAATAATAACCCTAGCTAGATTGAATTTGTATTGAGAATATTTTAATACAAGAAGTAGTACACCAGATTCCTAAATGTTTCAGTTAAATATCTTAGTACAATAATCTATAGAAATTTAATATCATTAGATAATACTCCTTCCATCCCCAATTATAAAAAAACGTCAAATGTTCAATTTGTCCACAATTAATTATTAAAATCTTATTACATTTATTATTTTATTAATATTATTAAAGATAAACTAATGAGGAAAATTACATTGAAACCATAAAATGACATTTATAATTATTTAAATTCATTATTAAATAAGACAGCTAGATATATTTTGTAAATGTTAATTATTAAGGAGAGAAGGAAAAAGGGGAGTCAAATAAAAACCAGCGCAATCTACGTGGTGCATGAATGAATGAGACCAATAATAAATGCCTCACGCTGCCCACTCATATTCTCGTTTTTTGTAATATAATCATAGAAGAATTTTGATAAAAAAAAATCACTAAAGAACAAATTACAGATCGAATCGAATCTTTAATTACCTTATCATCAATAAAAATAACATAATGAACAGTTGTTTATTTCTTAATTCTAACGTTAAAGAAGCGTATGTTCGCCATTCTCGTTTCACTTTTTCCTGTGACTTCTCTCCCTCCCACCATCTCTTTTTGCTGTCTCTCTGATCATGGCATCCTCTGCATCTAACGGTGCTTTTTTTCTTTACATTCTCGTTCAAGTAATTACGCATCTGTACCATGATAAAATCGATCGTTAAACGTTTTGGGTTGTTTTGTTAGAAGTGAAATTTGTGCCGGAAGAGGATAATTTCTTGCAGAGACATGTGGCCTTCTTTGACCGGAACAAAGATGGCATCGTTTATCCCTCCGAGACATATCAGGGTACGTGTCTTCTTTGAAAGCAAACTCTTTAGTTCGACCAAACTGTCTTAAATCAATCTCTTAATGACTAAACTTAGATTTGTCTTGGAGATCTTTTGTTTTGTGTCTAGTGTGTGTGACTCTTATTGTCTTGTGACTCTCTCATCTGTAATAAAAAGTAAGATTTTATGATGTTTTCTAACTGATGTTACTGTCGGATCACATGACCAACAAACAAAAACAAGAACAGGGTTTAGAGCAATCGGATGTGGATATCTCTTGTCGGCTTTTGCTTCTCTTTTCATCAACATGGGTCTAAGCAGCAAAACTCGTCCGGTAACTTGAAAATTGAACTATTAACACAGTTATAAAGTTAATTATTGATAATTAACTTAATTTTTTTAAAAACCGGTTCTTAACCTTTTTTTTTAAAATAAAAGTTAAAGACGGATTTTTATATTCCGCTAAAATCCCCATGTTAAGAATCTTCAATAAACATGCTCTATAATTTCATACCTTATGCAAAAGGATCAATGCCACAATGGTGTGTTTTGATTTGTAGGGAAAAGGTTTCTCCTTCTCATTTCCAATAGAGGTTAAGAATATCCACCTTGCCAAACATGGCAGTGATTCAGGCGTTTACGATAAGGATGGGAGGTATCTTCACTTTTATTTTTCCAATTAAATTACGCAATTTATGATAACTTTATACATCAACAGTATTTCACTTTTATTTTTCCAATTAAATTACGCAATTTATGATAACTTTATACATCAACAGTATTTCATAGTCTTGGTATAGCCCATCATTAAATAAATAAAAGAGAGAATTATGTGAGGCTTCATAGAAAAAAATATCAAATATTCTTTCCATACGAAAGAAGTTATCAAAAATTTTGAAGGTCCAAAACACACATATTTTACATCTTAATAGTTTAATGGTTCAAAAGATTAAGTAAAGAATTTTTTAATAATTTCTTTTGAAATGGGTTTTAGTCATTAATCATGCTTTTAATATATTTTAATTAATATTGTTTGTTTTTCTATTAAAAAATTGGAGGTTTGTGGCATCGAAGTTCGAAGAGATATTCGCAAAGCATTCAAAGACACATCCCGATGCATTGACGGGAGAGGAACTTAAACAACTCCTCAACGCAAACAAAGAGCCTAATGATCGTAAAGGAGCGTAAGTATCTGAACTGGATTAGTTTAATTACGTGTAATTTACATTATGATCGTACACGACCAATAATATCATTTGAGTTTAAAAATGCAGGATTGCTGGATATACGGAGTGGAAGATGTTGCATTTTTTGTGTAAAGACAAGAACGGTCTGTTGCACAAAGAGACAGTGAGAGCCGCTTACGATGGTTCTCTTTTCGAACAACTTGAGAAACAAACAGCTTCTAGGAAGAATCCATAAACAAACTCGTGCATGCGTGAATCTGTTTTATTTGTTAAAAAAATTTACTACAATATGTGAACAATGGCGTAAAGATTGCAATGGGTTTGATTTTGCTAAAACTAAATTATACCAAACTGATACTAATAAAATACTTGAAAGAATCCAAAACTTTAATATTCAAATAATAAAAACCAAATCTCCAGAATTGGTTCTGAAATTGAGGAAGTCTTATTCAAAATGTTTGATTATTTTAGTTAAATAATTTTTTATTTTTTAAGGTTTTAATAGTATAACCATTTATTTACAACAAAATCATTATAATATAAACATTCTCAATATATTTTTATCATTTTCATAAATTAAAAAGTCCATTTTATTTTACTTTTATGTCATCATAGAAAAAATAATATATATATATATATATATATATACACTTAAATATAAATAAGTGAGCTCCTTTTAAGACTCCATTAAAATATTATTCCAAAAAACTCCATTATATGTTTATAAATATTAATTAATTTTGTACCTTACATCCAAAAAATCTAAAATATTCATAATTATTTAACATATCCACAAAATACTTAAAATAGTCAAAATTAAATATAAATAATAGCTAGAAAAAAACTGAACACACTAAACATACTTACAGTTACCCACTCAAATATCCAAACTGAAAAAATTCATGGTAAATTTAGGGATTTGGTATTACCTCATTCCAATTTATATTACTTTTATTTTCTATTTATGATTTTAAAATATTATTCAGATTTTGAAACTTTTACATAATTTAAAAGGGTACCCGAACGTGAACTAATTCAAACTAAAATATTCAAATGAGATTTAAATTTCTAACCTGAAAAATATGAAATCTAAATGGAGTCAAACTTAATTATATTGGTATGTGAGTGTACATTTTGTAAACTTGAACTCATAGACAAAAAATACAATAATCAATCATTTCACTTCTTAAACTTTACTTGGTAGAGATGACGATAAAGTAGCAATATGCTATATAATCAACTAGGTGTTTTGCCCGCATTTACGACAATAATGCTCTTATGAATAATTATTAATTAATGTTTCATTAATTTATTAATTATGTTTTCAAAAATTATAAATCAAACATCAAATAATTATAAATGACAAAACTCAAAAATCAGAAATATTTCAAAGAATTTATTTCTATAATTATTTTTCTTGATTTATATTTAATTAGAATATTTATAAAAAAAATTTACTTAATTTATATTTAATAATAATTTTTATCTTTTAACTTAAAATTTTATAATAAAAACACATTTTCAATTATTATGATAAATTCATTTTAATTATATAATAATTATATAAGATTACAGAAATGATGACATAATTAAAATTATTTAAAAATATGGAGACTTAACAAATCAGCAAATTCACTTCTTAAATAATTTTGCTTGAGTGATTATATTTAAGTAAGAATAGATAATAATTATTTAATATAAAAATATATTTTTAAGATGACAACATAATACATAAGAATTAACTTATTTTCTAAAAGTATAATATTATTAGTGTAAATTTATTTTAATTATAGAATAAATACAACATTTTATAGCTTAATTTTAAATTTTTAATAGAAAAATATATTTTCAAGACAACAACATAATACATAAGAATCATCTTATTTTCTAAAAATATATTATCATAAATTAGTTTTAATAATATTATAACTATATAAGATTACAGGAATGATGACATAATTTAAATTACTTAAAATCATGGAGACTTAACAAATCAACAAATTCACTTCTTAAATAATTTTACTTGAGTGATTATATTTAAGTAAGAATAGATAATAATTATTTAATATAAAAATATATTTTCAAGATGACAACATAATACATAAGAATTACCTTATTTTCTAAAAGTATAATATTATTAGTGTAAATTTATTTTAATTATAGAATAAATACAACATTTTATAGCTTAATTTTAAATTTATAATAGAAAAATATATTTTCAAGACAACAACATAATACATAAGAATCATCTTATTTTCTAAAAATCTGATACTATTAATATAATTTTTTTTAAATATATAATAAATTATATATATAATTATAGAAATTATGATAAATTAACAAAGTTACATAAAATCATGGAAAATATGACAAATCAACAAACATAAAATTCACTTTTTAAATAATAGTATAGTTTTTTTACACGTTAACTTTAAATTTATAATAAAAATATATTTTTAAGATATCAACATAATACATAAGAATTAACTTGTTTTCTAAAATATCATATTATTAATAGAAATATAGTTTTAATTATATAATCAATAAAAAAAGCCAAAGAAGAATGATGATAAATTATCAAATTACTTAGGATCATAGAGAAGTTAACAAATCAACAAATTCACTTTTGAAATAATTTTTTGATAATTTATATTTAATTATCAATAATATAATTTTTATATCTTAATTTTAAGTTTTATAATAGGAAAATATATTTTCAACATAACAACATAATCTATAAGAATTATCTTATTTTTATAAAATATAAAATCATTATTATAAATTCGTTTTAGTTATATAACAAATACAATATTTTTTATATCTTAATTTAAAAATTAAATTTTATATATAAAAATATAGTTCAAAATAACAACATAATTCACAAGAATTACTTTATTTTCTATAAATATGATATATTCATATAAATTTGTTTATAAATAAATTAGTTTTAATTATATAATCAATAATAAAAAATAAATAATGATAAATGATCAAAATTACCTAGGATCATGGAGGATCATGGAGAAGTTGACAAATCAACAAATTCACTTTTGAAATATTTTTTTGATGATTTATATTTAATTATCAATAATATAATTTTTATATCTTAAGTTTAAGTTTTATAATAGGAAAATACATTTTCAACATAACAACATAATACATAAGAATTATCTTATTTTAGAATATAAAATTATTATTATAAATTATTTTTAGTTATATAATAAATATAGTAATTTTATATCTTAATTTAAAAATTAAATTTTATATATAAAAATATAGTTCAAGATAACAACATAATTCACAAGAATTATTTTATTTTTTAGAAATATTAATATTTTATATAAATTCGTTTTATTTATAAATAAATTATATATAAATAAAAAAATATGATAAATAAACAATATTACCTAAACTTATGGAGAACATGACAACTAAGCAAATTTAATTCTTAAATAATAGTATAGATATGTTACATTAATTATATATGTTCTTATTAAATTATTTAATAATACAATTGGGAGAATAGTAACGATATGCTATTTTAAAATTAGAACAGAAATTTGTATATAATATAGAATATATTTATTTTTAAATAATATATATTTATAATATATGTATATTAATATATTCATTATTATAGTAATGTTCTCTATCTTCATTCTTATATTTTATATAATTAGTTAAATATAGATATATTATTTTAAAGGTGAAATAGTTGTAAAACAAATTAAAATATATTAACTGTAAGTTTTATTTAAAAAATATATAACATATTTGTAGATATTGTTTTTTATTATTAATTAAGATAAACAAATTATAAATATTTTTTTCTTAATCTATGTATATATTCTAAATGCAAATATTTTATCAAAGATTTGGTATGAGAACATTGAACAGAAAAAAAATTTAGAGAATATTAGCATCTTATAAATTTTCTTATAGATGTTTTTCTAATAAATGTTACTCCCTTCGTTTCTCAATATATGATATTTTGGATCATTGCACAAAGATTAAGAAATTTATATTCTTTTACGTAAGTATTTTTAAAGATGTAATTTTAATATCATTCGACCAATTATAAAAAGATTTAAAATTTTATTGCTATAACAGTTTCCAATAAAATTAAAGATAACCTTAAAACTTTAAAATATACCTTAAAATCTTAAAACATCTTATATTTGAAAACAAAATAAGTTTTTTAAAACATCATCTAATTTGAATAGATAATAAAGAATATGATGTTTATGAAAATAATTTGCCAATCAATCCCTTATCATTCTCTATTGGAAAATACAAACTAATGAAAGCAGATCCACCGACCTATGTCTACCATCCAAAGAAAGCAAAACTACAAAAGAGAAACATAAAAAACACGTGGGAATGAACCGGTCTAGCCAGTAGTACTGACCGTTTCTCCCCGGTTGAAAAAAGCCCCACATGGTTTTATGATTTTATCAAGCAATCCTTTAAGACTCCGGGAAGCAAAGCGTGTCTGAAACATTACCAAAACTAAAACCTTACCACTTTGTTCTAACTCTTTGGTCAGAAACAGAGAAGTAGTTAGTGTTCTTTTGATTTGATTTGAGATGGAAAGAGATTTTCTAGGTTTGAGCGACAAGCAGTATCTGAGTAATGTTGACGATGATCGTGTCGGAGAACGAGGTTCGTGTTCTTGTCTCTCTACTTGTACGGTCGAGGGTTTAAAAAAACTATAACATAGCAGATTAATATAATATATAGAGTCCAGAAGTTGTTTAAATATAGTTAATTTAGACTGCAAAACATTTTTTTTTATAAAATCATTAATAGTAATAATAAATATAAGATCAAATCGTGCTTAAAAGAAATAATTGAATCTTCAAAGATGAGTAATTTGATGTCAAATAAAAATGGATACTTTAGGCTTCAGCAAATGGAGCCCATTATCTGGAAGTGCGTTTCAAAACGCGAATCCTCAGCTGATTATCTTCTATGCCGGAACTGTTAGCGTGTTTGATGACATATCTCCTCATAAGGTATAGTTCATGTTCATACAGCTTACATTTACAGATAACATGTACTGATAATAATGATGTGTGATTAGGCTAAATCCATTATGTTATGTGCTGGAGAAACTGGAGAGAGCAGTTTAAAGAAACCGCTTCAAGAAACTGAAAGAGTCTATAGAAAAAAAATCTATAACTCTGCTACTCCTGCTGCATCATCAAGCTCTGCCACATACTGTGATAGTTTCTCTAGGTGTGGAGACAGGCCCATTGGTGCGACTAATGCCAGGAGTATGATCGAATCGTTCAACGTAGATCCTAGCAATATGATGCCTTCAGGTATAGATATGAGAAAAAATTATTCATGGTTTTTATTCAATAGATCACATTTTTAACACAACAAGTGCTAATTCTTTCAGTTCCTCAAGCTCGTAAAGCATCGTTGGCTAGGTTCCTGGAAAAGCGCAGAGAGAGGTTTGATTCATATAGTTATAGAGTTCTTTGACTTTGATGAGAAAAGTTTAATCTAAAAGAAATGTTGTTGGTGCAGGCTCATGAATGCAATGCCATACAAGAAGATGCTTCTTGATCTGTCAACAGGAGAATCATGTGGAATGAATTACTTTTCTGCTTCTCATACCTAAAAACCACCTCCTTCGTTTTTAATCATCTTTGAGGTTTTGACGATGGTGATTTGTAATATTGTCATTAGATTATTATTATTAAAGCCTCCATTTATCATGTCACGAGGAGGAGAAGGCGTTAGGCGTCTCTGTATTTGAGCATTGTTGTAATGGTTATGTCACTGTATGATTACTTCATTACTTGAACACTAAGAGATGTATGTTTTTGTCTGTTAAAAACACAAGGCCGAATATAAATAAATGACTATTGCTATTAACTTTTTCTGTTATATTAATAAATTTTACACTAAACATTATATTTCAGTCATTTACCAAAGAAGATTGCATATTGAGTGAACCAGAGTAGCTCCGAGGTTGATTATGATATATAGATTCTCTTCACAATGAAAAGATTTTTTTAGATATTATTCTTTGTTAAGGCAGAGAATCCTCTTAGGAAAGTAATAATGAGTGTAAGAAATCCACCGGAGAACAAACTGGTAAGGAGAAGGAAACAAGAGTTTGAACATGAAAAATTCATCACAAAAAACACGTTTCCGTTTAATAAGTGGATCAGAAAGACCCTAGTCTTATCAGTTTGCACCTTTATGTCTTTCTATCTTTAATATTCTTGTCTTTCATGCCCCCACCAAGTTATTTTATTCACAAGCTTTGTTTGGGGATTATTTTAGTCGGTATGTGTGTTATTAATTCATGTATTAGATGGATTTTTGATCTCTAACACACTCACTTATACCTAATTCACTCAGGCTTTCAAAAATATACTTCATCTTTTTAACTCCTTTGCATCTTTCCCTCCACTTTACAGTTGTAAAATACTTTTTATTTGAAAATATGGAAGTTTGTAACTACATATTGAGTTAAATAAATATGGAGTGGGATTGATATATAAACTTCTAAAAATGTTAAATAAATTATTTTTAATGGTTTAGGAGAGTTAGTTTAGTTTGTTTAATAGCAAACTTAAGATATTTATTAATAAAATTATTTTTCAACGGTGAATTTGAGAAGTGGTATCAAATTTGTGATAAAATTGAATTTTTCTTTATCTGAAAACCTAAGGCAAACATCAAACTCATAGTTCCCTTCATTCTTCTCTTTGCTTTCTTGATGGCAAATGGATAACTATCCATTTTCCTTCACTTTTTTTGTTCATGTCTTACCATTGTTATAGCTAAAACAGACATGATTTACATTAATGATGACGGGAAGATGTTGGCAAGCGAGATTCTCGTGGCGTTGAAACTTTTTAAGCAATGCATACCATGTGTCGACAAGGCTCAAGTAGTTGATGCAAACTGCAATGGTTGTTTATAAATAGCTTAATAGTTTTTTTTTAGTTCGGTTCGATGATCGAGTAATCACAAGTAACGACTCGATGAAGTGCAAAGGTGAGTTTAAATCACACCGGTACTTGAATTCTTTAATCTTCTTCACTAATTAGGGGCTTACAATACAATTGGTTAAGTAGAACATAAAAGAGTGGCAATAATATAAAATAATTAAAGGGTGTAGGGTGGCCTAAAGTTCCCAGCACACCTCTAAGGAGAGAGGCAGTAACTTATAAAGACCATCCTCATCGCCAAGTAGAATGGGCCGAGAAGTAACCAAGAAGTCCAACGAGTGGTGCGTTGATGTACGTAGTGGGCTCTGACTGTACAAAGTAAGGTCTCGAGTCAGGGAAAGCATCAGTGACATTAGGTCCACCAACAACAGCACCAACGAGAAGGTTTGGGTTAGGATTTGGGCTAAGGAAATAGCGAGAGCCTTCCTTGCAACCAATACGTGCTGGATGGGCCGAGACTGATGGAACCGAGCTACCACGGTGGTGAATCCTACGTGGGAACCGTCGACCGTACCCAACCATGTAAGACATTCCCAACGGGTTGTCTCCCAAAATGTAGTCCACCTGTTCATGCGCCACAAAACAAAACAAAAAAGATCATATATTAAGGTTTGATCTCAAAGCAAAACGGCTGTGTTTTATTTTTGGTTCAAAATTTGAGAAAGTTTGGGACGAATGTGTTTTGTCTCTTACCTGACGCTTGGCTACTTGGCGGAGGAGAGCTGGGGAGGCAGTTAATTCCCCACAAGGCACAACCTTTTTGGCATGGCTCAGATAATTAGAGTAAGCCAATAGGAGGAAGGATAGAGATGTTACATGTTGCATGTTACTTCCTCCAGTTTTCACAAGTAGCCCTCCTGTATAAGACAAAATATAGATTTACTACTATTGAATAATATAAATACTTTTTTTTGAATAATGAATAATATAAATAATTATATTTACATGTTTATGGAAGGAAAAGACAAAAGTAAACCACGTGAAATAGGAAAAGTAAGCTTTGATATTAGAAAATGAAATAAAAAAAGATAGGATTGGTTACCTCGAGAGTATTGGACTTGAGGATGAGATACTCCAGGCAATATAGAGCAGATAAACGCATCTGCGTTTTGCTTGAAAGACTCAAAATACTCTGCTTTTCCCATTAGCACTTCCTGTTACCAAAACAAGACAAAGAACACTTTTAATTAATCCACCATATAATATAATATAATATAAGAAGATTTTGGAGATCTGGAGATAAATAACATGAAAGGAAGGAATGGGCAGTCAAACTGAGATAATGAAAGAGGTCTTGATTCTGAAGCAAAAAAGGACCTTTGAGAAATGACAAAACAAAAAACCCACTAATAAGGCTATTGCAGGAGAATGGGAACTGGTAAGGACATGACACTTTTCTCAGTCTTTATGCCACATGCTTTGTAGCAGTAACCAAAGACTTCTCTATCCTTTTCTCTTTTTATTGTCCCCACTTGCATTCTATAGGCCTGAAGCCTGAGTACTACTAATAATAATGTTCGTAAAACTAGATGCATATATTAGGAAGACCTTGATTTTTTTTTTTTTTTTTAACTATATCCAAAACCACAAGTAGGGAATACACTCATGTGATACACCACATGAAAACTTCTTCCAACAGGAAGGGGCACAAAGTCACATACTGTATACATTTGATCTACCTACAATGAATTATCATGTGTCTAATATAATATCTAGATTTATATAATTCCACACTATTTATCCACTCACTAGTCATGGCTCATGGGGCCATGTGAGGCTCTGGCTTCAATATGGTAATGCTACATTATTAAAACTATATGATGCCAAATCTAGGAGCATATACACTGGACAGAAAAGGGGAATGTCCAATGAAGTATGTCTCTTACCTTAAGATTCAGCTCCCATATCACATGACCATTTCTAGTTGGTTAAACCCATGTTTCATCTTATACTCTATAGTTTAAATATTCCATATTACTTGTCTATATTAGCATGACTCTAGCATGCTGATATTGGTTCACACATCTATGCTGGTTTTGTTCAAAGATAAAAAGCTTTTAATGAACACACATACTGGTATACCAAACTAGCTAGATAGGATCATAGGACCCATAATTGTAATGTGAACCCCACTTCCAATTATATGATCGAAATTCGTGCCACCAACACGTGATAACCAGACAACACACTCTATCTACCTATGTTAATTTAATTCTTATACATTAGTAGTCAGTCCTCTTGCAATCAAACAGACAAGAAATACTATTCTCCCGGTAATCTTGGATTCTTGATCTACAATTTATGGTGTTGATAGAAACAAGAGAATAATTTAGCTGTGGTTTACCTTGGAGATTAAGACATTAATCCCAGCATGCTTATTATCCCAACCAAATTCATTAATGGTATCTCCAGCCTTGAGAACCACCTCGTTCTTCACAATGAATTCTCTGTACGCTCGTTTTCTCGAGGCTTTGTGCAGCCACGCCGCACCCCACAGTAACTCGTCCTACACAACCGTCAGATGGTAAAAACACACGTTAAGTCACTGTAACTATTTCAACGGCTAACACTAAAATAGTAAATTACCAAGTTTGACTGACAGTTTAACTGTTTTTTTCTCACCTGATAACCGTTGAAGTCACAGTAAAAAGGGCACACCGCGTGGTAAAGACTGTTACTGTACGCACCACGATACCTATTAGCAAACGCGAACACCTGCGCCACGTTAAGTGTATTGTCAACTTTATTTTATCAAATTCAAAACATAGATTTTGATATATATTCTTTTTCTTTCTTCTGATATATCTTTCTTCTTTAACGTCAGAAATTTATTCATTCAACCGTACACATCCATAAGAAAATTACTCAAAAAGTCAAATCGTTTATTTATGTGAATATTTATTTATATAAAAAAACGAAACACAGAAATGAGCAAGTGAAAAAAGTACAGTAAAGAATAATTATTAGGAAGCATATGGAGAGAATCTCTTATCTCACAAGCAAAGAATCATTGATGAATTGGAAACTTTTGACTATTTATCAATTTATTATTATTAAAACAAAGAGAAAAATAAATAAATAAATAAATTCTCGCCTCACTACTAACTAACAAAATCAGATTATTACCACAGTCAAAGCATTAACTAACAAAGAGACTTATTAATGGTAAGAACAGAGTAAACGGCACACGCGTAAGACATAACCAAAAGAAAGCGATAGTTTGGTGATAGTAACGTACCCTTGTTGCTCGGTCAAGGAGCCGTCTGGAGTAAGCAGGATCACGTTTCCTGAAAACGATCGAAGCCGCGGCCAATGCAGCTGCGGTTTCACCTGCCACGTCTGATCCAGGATGAGCTCTGTCGATTTTGTAAACCGTGCGAAGCGTGTCCATGTCTTCTGGTCTTTCCCAGCAGTTGTGGTCGGAGTAAGCGTCTCCCACCTGAACGAAAACAACGCCGGGAATCGCCGTCGCTTTTAAAAGATAATCAGTTCCCCATTTGACGGCTTTCACGGCGTTTCTAACCTCCGGTCCCATGGTTCTCCCGAAGTCGATGATGCTCCACGACAGCATTGTCGTCGTGAATGCCATCGGGAAACCGAACTTTACGTTGTCTCCCGCGTCGTAGTAACCTCCCGACAAATCCACCTGAGATTAGTAATAAAAAAAAAATAGAATGGTGAAAATGTTACAAAAGTTTTTTTTTGATAAAAAATGTTACAAAAGTGAAAAGGAGAAAATGTTGAAATGTAGACTCACGCCGGCGGAAGAACCGTCGCGTAAGGCTGAGTCACGGCGCCATCTGAGGCGTTGATCGGGAGGGAGCTTGCCGGAGCGTTGACCTTCAAAGAACATGATGCTTTTGCGGAGTGCGTCGCGGTAATCATGTCCGGCGTAAATGGCTGGTGAAAATAAAAGTACGGAGAGCAGAATCACCAGGGAGAGACTTCGCGCCATCTTTTACTCTCTCTCTTGGTCTGTTGTCTTCTTCTTTGTTTTGTTATTAGAAGGAGAGAGAGAGAGAGAGACAGTGAGGAGTGAGTGTTGATAGGACCAACGAAGGGCTCTTTATACTAAAAAGGTCTTCTTGGGTTCCAGTTAAAGAGCCAATGAATGGTCGACACGTGGAAGTTTTTAACTGGAGGCAGATCCATGTTAGATTGGGCATGGGGGTTTTAGGATTCCGAGGCTAAATTCGCTTGACCGGGTAAGAACCGGATTTTAACGGGTCGGGTTGGAAAAATCTGGATCTAGGGTTTAGGGTGGTTAGTTTAATGAAGACGGTGTGTACTCCGTTGGTACGGTGAGAGAATCCAAAAAAGTGGAAATCTGTGAAATGAATAATGATAAAAGAGATTTTTACCATGTGATCCACCGCCCTATTGTCGTGCGACGCGTGTTGTGATCTCAATTTGGTGTTCTTAATATTTGTTTTATTATTCTATTAGCAATGTTGAAGGAAACTCGTGGTTATGGATTTGTGATTATGAACGCCTTAAAACTCGATGTATATAGTAATGTCATAAATTTCTGCTAACATCCAACTTTCGTCCATTTGCAATCTAGAATCCACTTTAGTCATGTGATGTGTATTCGGACATGGCATTTAGTTGATTCGGGGGTGTAATATATGTTAGTTTTATTCTCTGTCCATGGTTGTATTAAAACTCTTTTAAGAGAACCTTGCAATTTGTTGATTATTGTTCAGAACGTTAAAATGAAAAATTTATTTCCATTGAAGTATACACGAAAGAGCAAAATTGGTACTTTAGGATTGATCTCACCATTACAAACGAGTCAATCATATAAGCACATAACAGTTTACCGTTTACGGTAACATTTTACATTCGTTTTGGGAACTTTTTGTTAAAAGTAGCCATGTTTATTTGCATGTCGATGTAATTTATGACTAGTCTTCAGTCGTAATTTTGTTTTGTCAGAAATTATAAGTTGTTATTATAAAGCTTGAGTTTATAGTGGTAAAATTTATTTATATTTAGTGATGTATGACTATTCGATACATATTTGTAAGATATTGCGACAAACAAAACAATAATTCTTCAGTTATTGGTTGCATTTACATGCAAATATACAAGGCCAATACACTTGATATTTCATATTTGATTACATGACTTGCCGCATAAATGAAGAGTATTAGAGGTGTTGAGTTTTGATGATATTTTTCTCTTCTAAGTGATGAGAGAATTACCTGGAACATAACAAGATCAGAAAATGTATTTCTTTGAGAAATTATGATGAGAAATTCGAAACAAACAAATAAAGGAAGAAACAGCCTCGTGCATGGCACATGAAACCCTTAATCATTATGTAATACAGTTACTAACAACTACAAATTAATTTTGCTAATAATTAATGAGATAGCTGGATATTTAGAATCATTGACATGAATTATCAACGAATGAAAGAAAAAACATTTAATAACAATGCGCATATGTCCGGACATATTAATGAATGAATCATCTTTATCCACCTTGAATGTCCGGATAGTACGCTTCAACACACGACGATATGATGTTCCAATGAAATTCTGTTCGCAAACAAACAACAAACACGCGAGAGGCCATAATATTTATCAGTCGCCGGCTCCAAGGGAGTAGCAATAAGACCACCAAAACGACCACCCTCGCCCACGGGAAATACTCTACTGCTAGCTTTTATCTACTTCTTCTGAATAAAGATGGTTATATAAATCTTAGTATAAAACAAGATGGATATATTAAAGAAAAAGTGTAAACAGTTTAAAAGTGTTTGTTTGATTAAACTCGAAATTCCAATGTTAAATCTAATGTGTACGAACAATAATGGGGTTGACTAATATTACCCGAGAGGATTGTTGTATTGAGCTGACGCATGTGATCATCTTCGCTGTTTAGCACCACTTTAATTTGAAGCATTTTTTAATTGTTCTCATCAAAATTATTTTTCTTTTCTCGGAATCAAAATTATTTCGACAAATGAAAAGATGCAAAGAAAATGGACGACCAAGAAAAGAACAAATAAAGAAAAACAAAAGTAAATAGAGGAGATCATGAGACGGTAATGTCTTTAATCTGCCACGAATATAGGCCGACTGATTAAATATCATTGGGGTCATATAGCCGTAGACAATCAATGCCTTTATTGGAAGTCGATTGTGTGGCTGCGCATTCCTAGGGGCTAGGGTCCTGGTCTTTGCTATTCGAATCGAATTAGTTTGTAAGCAAGATGAAAGAAAAATGATAAAAGAAGGATACAACTTGTTTATCCGGTGTTCATATCTTCTTTTAGTGCGAGAGAGAAAGAGCTATATTCACCAGAGCTGGTTATCCTAACAATCCACTAGAATTAACTAATATTTCATGGATTTATCATGTTAAATTTATGATATTTTGATAGAGAAGAATAAAATAAATTTGAAATGAAACTGGATAGTATCTCGTTTTTTTATTGCCAAGTAATGCATAACTTTATACTTTCTTGTTTCACTGTATATGTTGCTTGAGGTATTTTCCAAACTCAGTCTAATTTTTATTTCTCAATCGTATTTATTTTAAACGTGAGAGTACATAACGAACATGTCATAACAAAATAACTTCAAAAACCCAATAAATACTCCCAAAGGAACGCTCATCAAATCCAACCGGACCATACAATGGTAGTACCGTAGTAGTAACAATGAAAAGACCTATTCTCGGAGACATTATAATTTTACCACAAAACTTGGTTCAAAGTTTTAAATTTACCGGTTAAAAATAATTATTTTCATAAGTACTTTAAATTTATGGTATTTAAATTAACCATCTTAAATTATTTATAGATATTTAATAATCATTTGTAAAAGTTTATAAACCTAACTCTACTTCTTAAATATTAAATTTAAATTAACCACGCATCTATGGTCGGGTGGTCAAGGCGTTCCGTGGATGCCAAGGAATCTGAATTTGAATCTGTACTACATCAGATTTTCATGTGGGTGGCCACCGGGACTTTCACATTCTCTCTCCGGAAAATGGTTTAACACTTTTTTTACCAAAAAAAATATTAAACTTAAACAATAAGAAAAAAAACTCCAAACTGTATTCTTAATCGAATGTATTTTTGAAAAATAGCCAATTTATATTATTTCAATAATTTATCTTTTAATGGACCAAGTGAGAATGTGTCAAGGGAGTTTATAGTACTAATGTATAGTACTAAGTTAATTAAAAAAAATAGAAATGAACTTTTTTTCTTTTCATATGAGAATCAAATACTGTTACACCTGTCCTAACCACTAAAAGAGCCCAAAAATAATAATTTACTTTTCAAAGCATAAAAAAAAAAGAAACCTCGCTACATAGTATTTACAATCAAATATTTAACAAGATTTATGTACTTTAATAACTCATAGGCCGTTTCCCATGAGGGTCTGAGCTAGAGCTCGCAGCACCTACACTTCTAGTAGCGTGAGTTGGCGTCGGAGTCCTCGAAGACGCTGGAGTAGCTCTACCTGTTCCTGTGTTGGAACCAGTGTTTGTATTCAAGTTCGAACCAAACGAGTCTGTTCTCGATCCGGTGGTCGAAAACGTTCCAACCGAGGATGCTCCTGCAGGACGATGCGTTCTACGGCGCTGTCTAGATCCCGGGACACCAGGACGCTCTGGTTCTTCTAAATGTCCTGGTTTTCTCGAGAGTAGCAGAGACACACGTCTCATAGATGGTCTCTTACGTGGATCACCTTGAACACAGAGCAGGCCTATCTGAACACAGAGTCTGACTTGTTCCGGGTCAGCAGAAGCTGCTATCTCCGAGTCTAGTATCTCCATGGTCCTGCCTTTCTTGTATAACTTATATGCCTGTGTGACACAATCACCAAGTCTTTACTTTAGCATCGGATCCAACACTAGGAACAATATGGAACATGAGTGACTAAGAGGCTTACCCATTCAAGAAGAGTCTGGTCAGCGTGTCTCATACTAAAACTAGAGTTCTTCTGGCCACTGATGAGCTCTAGAACCACAACCCCAAAGCTGAATACATCTGCTTTTACGGACAGTACACCTTGCATTACATACTCCGGCGCCATATAACCACTTCACATAAGAGAAACAAAAAGCAGTGAACATTAAGTCACAATTTGTACCAATAAGATTAGTGACAGAGAGAAGCATACTTGGTTCCTGCAACGCGAGTGTTGACATGTGTAGCATCTTCCTGATATAGCCTAGCCATCCCAAAATCTGCAATCTTAGGAACCCATTTCTCATCAAGCAGAATGTTACCAGCCTTGATATCCCTATGGATGATGCAGTCTGGCGCGTCTTCATGGAGATAAAGCAGCCCTCTAGCAATGCCTGTAATAATCTCAAACCTCAACTTCCAATCTATCTCTGATCTTCTGTTGGATTCTGCATCCAAAAGAAGCAACCACTACATATTAAAACCACTAGTACATCACTAAAGCAAAGATGAGAGAATGATAAGGAAAACTTACTGAAAAGGACCTTGTCAAGACTCTCATTTGCAACGTACTCGTAAACCAAAAGTTTATCATCTCCATGTGTGCAATAACCCCAGAGATTAACTACATTACGATGCTGGACTTTAGCTAACAACTTAGCCTCGTTGACAAACTCGTTGTTCCCTTGCTTTGACCCCTGAGATAGCTTCTTCACAGCAATGTCTCTCCCGTCAGGTAACCTTCCCTATTACACAAAAGGGTTTAACCTCATCAGCTAAAACTAACAAAACCCTAAGTAAAGTTTCAATCTTTGAATTGGGGTTACCTTGAAGACGGGTCCGAACCCACCTTCGCCGAGTTTGTGGGTCGGGTTGAAATCTTTAGTAGCGGAGACTAAGACTTGAAAGGTGAAAACTTTCTGTTCCTGAGCTGAGATTCTATCGATGTCGTCTTCAAGACCTTTGAAGAAGAAGAAGAAGTGAGTCAATTTAGGTTACATCAGAAAGAGTAAGAAGGGTTGGATCGAAGGAGAGTTACCTCGATTGGAGCTGCGTTTGAAAGGTTTAATGATTTTTTGAAAGAAATTCATGGACTTGGTCACGCCAAGATTGCTCCTTTGAGAGTTCTTTGTGACCATTCCATGGAAGAAAGGTTATGAATTGAGAAGAGGGTTTCGATTCTTCGACGTTCGATTGGGTTTAGCTGACTGTAGTTTCTGAATCTCAGATTGTGAATGAGCGAAGAAGAAGAAGGAGAAGAGACGCGTGTTCTCGTGTAATTTTAGTTGTTGGTTTTAATGCCGCGGAAGAGACAGGAATAAGTCAATGTGAGTTCGTGTTTTTTTTTAAATCTCTCTCAGTGAAATGAATAAAAGTCAAAGTCAAGTCTTCCTTCCACTTTTCTCAGTTTATTTTATTGTTTTGTATTTTTGTAATCGTTTTGTCAATGGTGGTTCTTTTATTAATTACTGAAGGTTGTAGATTTTTTTGTTCTATCTTTTCATTTATTATTATGAGGATCGTATGTAAATAAGTCTTGTACTATATAGCATGATTCAAAATTTAGGAGCTGAACTTCTTTAGAAATATTTTCAATTTATACGGATTAATTTTGTATAATATACTAAATTGTACTGTTATGGTTGCTAGTGGTATCACTGATTCACTGTATAACTTATTCAGATTTCAAAACCAAATGATAAGTACATTCATATATTAATTGTTTTCTCGACTACTTTTTCTCTTCTTTAATAGTTGGTGTTACCTTGACGTGCAAACCAGCTGAAATATATTATGTATTTTATTACAAAGAAAAGACGTGCAACCGTGGAGAAGTGAAATGCATTTGTTCCAAATAGGGGTGGGACGGATCGGATATCCGGGGTATTTCATGATATCCGGATCCGGATCTGGATTTGGCGGATCCGTAAAATTACTATCCGGATCCGGATTCGGGCCATCCGGATATCCGGGGTCCGGATATCCGGACTAAAACTCGGATACCCACGGATATCCGGATCCGGTTTATTTAAAAATAAAAATAAAAATTCAAAATTCAGTATTTATTTATTTTATTAAAAATTAGTATTTTCAAAAAAATTAAATTAAAATAATAGAATTTATTAACAAAATTAAATATTAGTTATATTTAATAGAAAATATATAATATACCTTTACAAATATAATTATATTTTAAATATTTTTTAAATATTTAGTGGGCCCGGATCCGGATCCAGATATCCGGATTGAAATTTTCACTATCCGGATTCGGATCCGGATTCGCCGGATCCGTGAAATCACTATCCGGATCCGGACCCCCCGGATATCCGTTTTTTCGGAGCGAATCGGATCGGATCCCGGATCGGATAGCGGATCCCGGATATAAGTCTCAGCCCTAGTTCCAAATGGTTGGTAAACACTGGGGGAAAAATTAGCGAGTTAAATAGAGTAAATGGAAAAACTAAGTTTCTTTTATATATGTACGGTAAGAAAGATAACTTTGCTAATAAATCTTGCAGCACTTCACTGGCAAAAGTTCTAAAGTAGATATCTGTGCTAAATAATACTATAGTTAATTATATTTTAATATGTTTAAGATGTTAAAGTAATCATAACTTGATATATATTTTAATATGTTTAAGATGTTAAATAAGTGTGATAAGAGTTTTTTCATGAATGTCTCTAAAAGCATATATACCTATTCAGTAAATACTCAGAGAAGATCTTTAAAAAATATTACTAATATTTAAATATTTTTTATTTATTGGGTAAACTTTTAAAGAAAGAGAATTGATTCAATATATGGAGAGAAGTGTATATTGAGGTTTTCATCAGTTTTTTTAGAAGTTCTTTGTTTTAGAACTGTATATTGAGGTTTTCATCAGTTTTTTTTAAAGTTTTTTGTTTTAGAATTCCATTCATATTTTATTTTGACTAAAGAAGTTCATTCGTATTAATGTGTTTGATTATAAAGAAAAGACGTAACCGTGGAGAAGGGAGAAGTGGAAAGCATTTGTTTCCAATGGTTGGGATCACTGGTCGAACAAAGGAAGTAAAGATAGAGAATAAAGTGGCGTTCGGTGGTCCGGTGGTGATTAGGGGTGGGCATAAGCCAAGTATTTGATATTTTCGGTATACTTAGTACTCAGCTTGGTTTATACGAGTATTCAAATTTTGGACTTGTACTTGGTTTGTTAAAAACGAGTACTTGCAGTTTCAAGTATTTGCAAGTTATTTGCCTTGTTTTATTACTTGTTATTTGTAAATTTTCTATAAATTATTTGATAATTATTGATAAATTATTTAATAAGTAGTTAAAATTTAAAGGTAAATAAATTTATTATATATAAATAATATGTCATTGTTTTCATTTTGTCATTGTTTTCATTTTGTCACTGTTTTTCTGATTTTTAATCATTCGTGAAATAGATTATATTAAGAATAAAAAAATTCTAAAATGTTTATATAAATATATCACTTATGTTTGATTCACTTATAAAATTTGAAATATAAACGATTTTTTTTACTATTATTTAGGAAAATGTATTTTTGATCATTGATAAAAACGAATAATAAACCAAACAACGCTGAATGATTATTTTTATATTATTATTTTGTATTTGTTTGTTTTAAAGACAATTTAACTATACTACTTTATACACATCTTAGTCAAAACAACTATTCGACTTTAAGGATCGTGTACTAACCAAGTAGTGAACATGATGCAAGTAACAAGTAATTGTGGCCATTCATAAAATACATAAATTTTAATTAATTAATAAAAATATATACTAAGTATTTAATAAACCAAATAACATATGACAAGTAACAAGTAATAAACCAAGTAACAAACCAAGTAGTTAAAAATTAAAATGAACTTGATACTTGACTTATACTTGCAAGTAAGAAAATCCATTTACTTGTTACTCGACTTGAATGGAACAGTTACTTGTTTTTTCAAATCAAGCCAAGTTAAATAACGAGTACAAACCGAGTATCAAACATTTATGCCCAGCCCTAGTGGTGACATGGTTGGAGCATGCATTTTCAGATTTTCTAGTCCTTCGCTATGTACAGTACAAGCTTGAGTGAGTTTGTAACGATATATTTTACGGTGACCTAATATCAAACTTATATGGCGTCATTGACGATGACGCTAAAAGTAAAGACAGAACACCCACTTGTCATAAAATTAAATAACATGATTACATTTACTCAAGACGCGGTTCTATTGGCTTATTAATTTGTTTATTTTAAATACTGACTCACTTTTCTTTAGGGTAATGGAAGAAAAAACTATTGTGCATACTATTAAAGAAGAATTTGCGAAATAGCCAAACAAAAACAAAATTAGATTTCTAAAATGAGAATAGAGAGAGAAAGAGAATTTGGGTAGTTAGCCAATTTGTACATATTTTTGGTACTGAAAACTTTTGGGGGAACGGTGGACAAGTAATAGACCCTAGCAAGTATATGTTCTGGTAGTCAGCTATCGTACAATCCTATTCATAATTGGTGTGTTATATACTTCAGATCAAATATTCACCGGGTCAATGAAAAAGGTTTTTATTATGTACCGACCAAAAGAAGTTGCAACCATTGTCAATGAAACTACTAAATATTACTCACATATTACGCGGCAATTATATTAGAAGTCTTTGTCTACATATTAACGTTGAAATTAAACTTCAAATTATTACGCATGATTTAATGCCCGTCAACCATATAGATTTGGAGTTTCAAATGTAAACACAACATTTGGAGTTACATATGTACGTTTTTTTATCAAACATATGTACGTTAAATATTGATTTAGTCTGAGCACATAATCTTCTGGTGATCAGTAAAGAAATGGAAGTACTGTCTTTCAGTTTATTTTCTTCGTTTGGGACTTATATCAAAATAGTATAATCTCTTAAGAAAGTTAATAAAGTATACCCTAAATTAGTAAAATATTTAATGCAAACTAGACGACTAAGAACATATCTAATGGTTTCTTTCATTTTTTTCCTCAAAATGAAGTAAATTCAAAATAAATTTGTGATGTGTTTCAATGATTTTCCTCATTTTCTCTTTCAGTTATTATTATATTTATTTCTCAATTTTTCATTTATTGCTAATAACACTTTCTAGTTGATAAAATTTTAGATTATACTCATTTGTTTTTATATTTCTACAATTTTAATCAAATTTTAATTTAAAAACAAATATTTATTACATTGATAAAAGTACATAACAACATTCAAAAAATAGTAGAATTTTACTTAAACAGTACTATTACTATATTTTGCTCACAAATTATCAATCAACGCAATTTGAAAAGAGAAATGAGTTCCTTTATCCTTGATTTGTCTAAACTGACTCAAAAACTTTTGGAATCAGATAACTTCATCTTCAGCTATTTCAACTTCCAGAGGTGAAACTTCTCTTCCAACTACAATTGGTGCTTGAGATCATGCTTATATTCAATTATCATGTTGTGTAAGATTACACAAGTAAAACATTATATCATTAATCACATTTTTTTCCAAAAACGAACGGGTCCTTTCACAATAGCAAAACGTGACTGGAGGAGAACTCCCAAAACACATTCTACATATTTTCTGAATGCTTCTTGTTGCATAGCAAAATATTTATTTTTAGGATCTATTGGCTCTTGAATAGTTTACACTATGTTAGACCATTTTGGATATATTCCATCAGCCAAATAATAATTCATACTATATTTTTTTCCTTGAATGACATACTAAGCAGTAGGAGCAATACCTTGAGCAAGATTGGAAAAAAAAATGAGAAGACTCCAACACATTTATATCATTATTAGTGTACGGCATACCAAAGTATGTATGCCATATCCAAGAAGAAGGTTGAATCGAAGAAGATTTACCTCGATTGGAGCTGCATTTGAAAGGTTTAATGATATTTTGAAAGAAGTTCATAGACTTGGTCACGCCCAGATTACTCTTTTGAGAGTTCTTTGTGACTATTCCATAGAAAGCTACCAAAAGGTTATGAATTGAGAAGAAAATTCAAATTAGGGAAGAGGGTTTCGATTGGATTTTGCCGGATGTAGTCTGGGAATCTCAGATTGTGACTGAGCGAAGAAGAAGAAGGAGAAGGAAAAGCGTGTTCTCGTGTAATTTAGTTTTTGGTTAATGTCGCAGAAGAGACAATCGTGTTTTTTAAATCTCTCTCAAGGAAATGAATAAAAGTTCAAGTCAAGTCTTTCTTTCACTTTTCTCAGTTTATTTTTGTTATTTTGAAATTTGTAATAGTTTTTATCAATGGTGATATCTT